AGAAAAAAGCGGGAAGTGGTGCTGTGGCTCAAGTGGTAGAGCGCTAGCCTTGAGCTGAAGAGCTGAGGGACAGCGCCCAGGCCCAGAGTTTAGTCCCCACGACCAGACCCCCCCCAAAAAAAATGTACAAATAAAGAAGAAGTAACACAACAATTGTTCTGTGTGTGTGCCAGTTACTGGGCTCAATTCCAGAGCCTAGGTGCTGTCCTTGAGATTTGTGCTCAAGGCCAGCACTCTACCACTTGAGCCACAACTCCACTTCCAGATTTTTTTGTAGTTTAGTGGAGATACTGAGACTCATGGACTTTCTTACCTCAACTATTGCAATCTGCCTTAAGGTTACAAGAGGTATTTCATTCATAAGTAGTTCTGCAGATTCTCAGGAGACTACAATTAGTAGCCATACAGCATCTTCCCTACAACCTGTTCCTGACATGGTTTGGCAAGAGCCATCAATTATCAGCATTTGATAGAGAGAAAAACTGAGGTAAAGTGAAATAATTCCTGACTCAATGGGAAAAGCAGGAAGTATTTAATAAAACACATCAGAAGCCAGGTGCTGGTGGCTCATGCCTGTAATCCTAGCTACTCAGGAGGTTGAGAGCTGAGGATGGCAGTTTGAAGCCAAGCCTGAGTAGTAAAATCTGTGAGATCTACAGTTCCACTAAACTACCAAAAAAGCCAGAAGTGGGGCTGTGGCTCAAAATGGTAGAGTGCTAGTCTTGAGCAAAAAGCTCAGGGACAGCATCCAGGCTTTGATTTTAAGTCCCAATACCAGCACCACAACAAACAAACAAAAAGACCTATGTTCCCCCCTTTCCAAAAAAAGCCCCCCCCAAAACAAAAAAAAAACCTAAAGTTTACCTCTGTCAACATTTCTGGAGGAATGGACAGAAAAAAAAGAACATCTCAACCAATCATGCTCATCAGCAGAATGGGCATCTCCAGCTATACTCTCGGAGAGGTGAGTGTTGTTTTGTCAAAGAGCATGTGAAATCAAGTCTTTTCAAATCTAAATGTTAGACGTACGCAAGAGTGTTCATTGAATATACTGAAAACTAAACCGAGCCCTGGGATTTACCTAACCCATCTAAAAGGCAGTTAGCATCTAACCTAACCCATCTAAAAGGCATTACCTCTTCCAGGTTTGCCATGCACATGATGTATAAATTAGACGGGAAAGGGAAAGGCAGCGGGAACCTGTTGCTGTCGCTCCTTTGATTGTGTGTCGCTAGGGAATGTCGCAGGGACCCTCTACCAATGCCGAGACAGCCGTCCGTCACCAGAACGACCTGTGTGCAGAGGACAAGTATCCATTAAGCCACATGCCCAACAGCTCCACCCAGGTTTGCTT